CTCCCAAGAAGCAGGTGTCTTTTAATTTTGTGGCTGCTGTCACCATCTGCAGTGATCATGGAGCCCAGGAAAGTACCAGAATCAGCACTGATTAAATCACTTTCTCCTCCCTTTCCTTAGTATGTGCTTTGTTGCTGATTGACACTTGAATTTGGAAAGCTGATCCCCTTCAAATTATGTTTTGTTTTCATTCTGGGTTAGTGATCTCTTAGATGTTCTGTTTCACTTATGAGACAGACTCTCTCTCCCCCTCTCTGCCAGTTCTTTGCAAATTCTTATGCACTGGTTAATTCCTCAAGGAGAATCTATTCTCACAATGTATTGTTTGTCTTTGTAGGGTTTCCAGGTATCTTTGTAGTGGCCTGGGCGGTGGTTCGAGCAACTGTGGCAGATGCAAGGTAAGTAGTTCTGGTGCAATAGCTTTCTTGAACTTTTTAATTTATGGTGTGGTAACTGGTATGCTACCACATGAGAAAACTATCTATGTATTTTGTACGCCCATAAAGACGGAAGTTATCTGGCAATGTAATCTAAAACATGCCACAGGCCCATTAAACCAGTACTCTTTTTAATACAGTGGTGCCTAGATTTACATAGAGAGGCTGTGTATTCAATACTTCCCAATTATCTCAAAAATAAATATTTGTAATGATGAACTCACTAGAACTGGTCACAAGAGGAAGCCACATACCATGCTATATATATTTGCTAAAGAAATATATTTCCATGTTGTCATTATCAGAACTGACCCCAAGAGGGAGCGAGAAACCATGCTATACACCAGGGGTGTCTAAATTTTCACCTTCCCTGGGCCACATTAAAAGATGAAAATTTGGTTTGAGCCCCCAAGACGCATGTTTAACTCATTTAAATGAGTGGTCAAGTCGACTAAAAATGCCAAATCTGTGAGCCAGTTTTCATCGTCAAGTTCTGGTACACATTTTGTTTTAAATTCCATAAATGATTTGATTTCATTTCTCAGATCATAAGATCTTGCCAGCATTTTCCCTCGACTTAACCATCTTACTTCAGAAAAGTAAATGATGTCCTCATACTCAGCATCCGTAAATGTAAGGAATTCCTGGAATTGGCGATGATTGAATCCCTTGGACCTTATGAAATTTACAGCCTTGATGACAATCTGCATGACGTTAGCCATCTTTAAAGCTTTTGCACATATATTTTCTTGGTGTACTATGCAGTGATATTTAATCATACTGAAATTTGGAAGGCAATTGCATCATCTATCAATTTTGCAAGCCCATGTCTTTTACCTATCGTTGCAGGGGCACCATCATTAGCTATGCCAGATATGTTAGCAAATGACAAAGAAAATCAGTGTAATGTACCGTATTTTTCGCACCATAAGACACACTTTTTCCCCACAAAACAGGAGCAAAGAAAACAGATTATATTTTCCTGTTTTCTTCTCCTAAAAAATTGGTGCGTCTTATGGAAAGGTGTGTCTTATGGAGCGAATTTTTCACAGCTTCATATAAATCTCTTGCTTTAGTTGTGTCTTTCAGTGGAACTAAAGCAGCCATTTCTTCAGTGATATTATATTTGTCATCAGTGCCTCTAATAAAAATTGCCAATTGAGCTGTATCTGTAGCATCTGTACTTTCGTCTATCGCCATATCATAAAATTTAAAATGAGCAGCTCTACTCTTCACAACTTTTTCGATGGATTTTCCAAGTCCCCTTTTTTATCCAGGCAAATTATATCAGCCACGGTTTCCATGCATTCCTTAATAAACTCACCATCGCAATATGGTTTTGATTTTTTGGCTATCAGGTTTGCAACCACATAACTGGCTTTGACAATAGAATCTGATTGAATCAATACTTTTTTAAAATAATTTTGTTGAGATGATAGATTTTTTTTCAGTTCAGCGATTTTGTCTTTACGACACATTCCTTCATACACAGCAAATTCCTCAGCATGTCTTGCCATGTAATGCCTTTTCAAATTGTAGTCTTTGAAAACTGGTGCTATTTCTTTGCAAATTAAGCAGATTGCCTTACTATTGGACTCAACAAAAAGTATTCATCTGTCCACTTTTCTTGGAACACTCTTCCTTCATCTGTAATTTTTCTTTTTTGTGTGTTTGTTTTAGAAAGCTTGGTTTAATAATCAATGTGATTACTGCATTGTGCAGCAACCAGAAGATGACATGACTGTAAATTAAAACAGCCCCCCACAGCCGGTCCCTTGGCCAGGGGTTATTTTTTAAAACCTGGATGACCCATCCTAGGTTATTTAAGATCCCTTATTAACTCGCACAGAGCCCAGGAAATTCAAAAGTCCTCCCCCACCGGGCTCCTGTCTCCAGCTGCCATGTCTCTCCGTGCTGCTTGCTTCCCAGCCTGGCTGGAAAGGTAGCAGCCCGGAGCAACCCCGCGGCTAGTATCAAAACCAAGGTCAAAAGAAACCCTGCCGCACATAGCAGATTTTTGCATTGCGTTCCCCTAAAACACGAGGGTGAGGGGTGGAAGACGTTTTCCAAATCGAAAACTGTGGGGTGGAATGACAGGGCAATTAAGCAACCAGGGAAACAAAACCGGGCATAGATCCCAGACAGAGTCCATCTGGGTCTGATCCAGAACCCAGCTACACCGGAACGCGTAGATCACTCTACTAACCTCGCTGCCCCCCAGCTTAAGTTCCTCCGGGATCACGCTGTGCATCACATGCATGCTTCGCTGATCCCTCCTCCTCCTCCACAATGGCACAACCCTAATCAATCCCTACTGCACAACTTGGGATGGGGGGCAAAGAGGTCCAACCTTTCCCTCCCCCCTCCCGCAAAAGGAATAAGCGAGGTGCGTGTGTGCATGGGGGGGCAGCCCTAGCCATCCTCCGCAGTCCCGCTCCAAGCGCACTTACCGGCAGCTGCGAGCTCAGACAGCAGAGGCTGCTACCTTCGACTCCGGCGGCTTTATGGGGCCGGGAGGGGGTCCACCTATTGACGGGGACGGCGCAATGAAGTCACGCCCCCCCTCTCCCCTCCCCTCCCACTCCTTCCTTCCTTCCCTCTCTCCCCCCCACCGTTGTGACGTGCCCCGGCCGCAAGCGCCAGCAGTGTAACTTGAGACTTTGGAATTTCTTTAAAAATAAAAAAATTGCACTGGGTCGCATTATGAGCCAACCTGGGCCACATGCGGCCCACGGGTTGCACAAGCCTTCTATAAACAGTATTCACTATTATAGCATTTACAATAATCCACAGTTTTCAGCATCTGTGAGGGGACTTGAAACTGATCTCCTGTGTATACGTGGGTCCTGTTTTGTATTTGCGAGAGCCCCCATCCCCAGCAGAGCTGGCAATCTTGGGGTCTTCCTGCCAATAATTCGATTGGGTCCAGGTGCTGATGAGATGGGTTTTTATTGAATAAGATGCTTTGCACAGAACTTCCCTGTTACCACCCTCCTGCGCCCAAGGTGAGGCAGTCCTTGTAATCCACAAGCTCCTTCATTGGGCTTGGAGCCTTTCAGTGAGGGCTGGTAGAGGCGGCTGGTGGGCATTGGCTGTTGTCCCACTTCTGTTGCCAGAACCCTCGGCTCTCTCAGGCACCATGGAGTTGGTGGGGCTGGTGCCTCTTCGAGGGATAGGGTAATGGACACTCCTCTTCCCTGGCTTCTGCCCTTACCTGCTGGAAAGCACCTCAGAGGCTCTTGCTAAGGGTGATCCTCCTTCTCCCAGGTCGACTGTCCGAATG